ATGGCAAGACGACTGACGGCTGGACAGTGCTACACTCTGCTGTTACAAAAGGTACGCTGGAAATAGTAAAATATATAGATTGAAATATTTAAAAACGTATTGTTAGCGACATGTATATAATTGCCAGTTATTCTGCGAACTCAAGTCGTACATGTGCTGATAGCTCACGAGGCGCGTGCAGGGCTGGGTCATAACTATTCACTCTACCAGCAGTTTTTTCTGCCTGGCAGTCGTGTGAAACTGCTTTAGGCAATTGATCAATTCTGCTTTGGACATCTCTATCATGTATGCGGAATCGCAGAGGTGTAAGTTCGATCCGAAGTTCCATTTTTTGCTACGTTTCTGCTTAGGTATAAAAAATCGTATGTCTTTACCTCCGTTGTCCGGAAAAATAGTCAACATTAAATTTAAGAAATCAAAATATATTGCTGTCTTCTAAATTGTTTGTGTAGTTGCAAGTGTACCAAAAGGTTTAATAAAGGTCTTATCGCAACAATATCTGCACTAACTTTACTGCATATTTTATGAATGTGATTCTCCCAGTTTTGTTTGCTATCCAGATCGATTGGCTCATATAACAATCCAGGACCCGTTGATTTGATGATAACATAAATTTCGCATTTTTCTGGATGCACGATCTCTTAATTTATCACACCCATTCTGAAACAATATTGTGATAGATACGCGTAGAGTGTAGCTGTTAATTCAAAATCATTAACAAAGCGTTTTTTTTTAATCTTTAAGTCGTTTGCATGTTTTGATTAACTAGTATATTCTAAGCTTTGGAATTGATATGTTTTTCTTGTAGGAGCGCCCAGAGCGGGGTTGTGCTGAGGTCCCTAAAATACTAGTAAAATAGAATAACACTATTGTTGTGAGTGTATTGAGACAAGAGGAAAAATACTTTAAAAAAATCCAATTTCTTCGCGCGAAGTCTGACTCTCAGCGAAAACAATTAAGAAAAATTAAAAAATATTTGCGGCAGCCAATCACGTTGCATAACCTTCCAAACAAATTAAATTCGCCATTTTTAAACGAACTTTAAAAAAAAATAATGTTAATTGTACAACTATGTAAATCATATCTATACGAATTTAAATTTTGAATAAAACTATTTATTGCTATTGAGGACATTTTTAAACTGACCAATGGTTAGGTTGCAACATTTGGCAAATTATATTCCACAGCATTGCTCCAGTATAAAGTAAAAAAAATTCCGAATAGAATAAACATCTTCAGAATCAATATTTGAATGAAACAAGACACAAGTTGGGACTGTAAATTTTGGACTTTCAAAGCCATGAGATCGAATCAAAGAAACTTACAGTTTCAACCTGTGTCTTGTTTGATTCAAATATTGAATCGACTGGCTGTGGTTTTTGCTCCGGAATAACTTATGCTCTCATTCATAAAATTAATTTCAGGCTTCGGAATTTGAAAATTATTGCTGCTCTTTTTCAAATTATGAAACTGATTATCTGAGCTATTGCTTGATTTACGCAATTATATCTTACTTTGTACGCGAGAATTGCTTTTTCGCTTTCATCCCTAATTCATTCAATATATCGCTTGATCTTATTCCATACGATTTACACGTCAAACCCGACCTTAACTGGCGCATAGTACGTGAAATCGCACCTACGGCCAGCACCTTGACGGCCGCCTTGAAAGTGGACTACAATTTTACTCTCATGCGTACAAAACTTAGCCGCGTTAGGGACAAGTTTCGAATCACTGAGCATGCGTCAAATCGGCCGCACTGAAAGTAAGTGTAAGTGCAGGCTGGGTTTTATGACCCTTGCAGGCATGTTCTGCATTCTTTGTAACTTGTCAATCAAATAATGCAGGAGGTATTCCAAAATTTCCTTCAGGAATTGAAATTTTTCGCCTCACGCGATTTTTTTACCTATCCTGTATAGGCACATATAAAAAGCAAAATTCCAGTGGAAGAATGAGCGTAGGTGAAGAAGAAAAGCCCCTGCAATTTCAGGATGAACAAAGACAGGAACTTGAACGGACAGTTACAGATGTAAATGGCAAGGATACCGACTGCTCCGCTGTGCTGCACTCTGCTGTTACTGAATGTACGCTTGGAATAGTAAAATACCTTGTTGAAAAGGGCGCTACTGTAAATGGCGAGAATACTGACGGATTGACTGTGCTGCACTCTGCTGTTACAGAAGGTAAGCTCGAAATAGTAAAATATCTTGTTGAAAAGGGGGCTGATGTAAATGGCAGGGATACTGACGGGTGTACTGTGCTGCACTCTGCTGTTACAGAAGGTAAGCTTGAAATAGTAAAATATCTTGTTGAAAAGGGCGCTGATGTAAATGGCAGCTATACCGATGGGTGCACTGTTCTGCACTCTACTGTCGCTGAAGGTATGCTGGAAATAGTAAAACATCTTGTTGAAAAGGGCGCCGATGTAAATGGCAGCAATACTGAAGGGTGGACTGTGCTCCACACTGCTGTTACTGAAGGTGCTCTTGAAATAGTAAAATATCTTGTTGAAAAGGGCGCTGATGTAATTGCCAAAAAAAGAAACGGGTGGACTGTGCTGCACTCTGCTGTTACAAAGGGTGTACGCTTGAAGTAGTAAAATATCTTGTTGAAAAGGGCGCTGATGTAAATGTCGTTTATATGGACGGATGGACTGTGCTGCACTATGCTGTTAGAGAGTGTACGCTTGAAATAGTAAAATGTCTTGTTGAAAAGGAAGCTGATGTAAATGCCAAGAATAATGACGAGTGGCCTTTGCTGCACTTTGCTGTTACAGAGGGTACGCTTGAGATAGTAAAATATCTTGTTGAAATGGGCGCTGATGTAAATAGCAAGGATACGGACGGGTGGACTGTTCTGCACTCTGCTGTTACGGAGGGTAAGCTTGAGATAGTAAAATATCTTGTTGAAAAGGGCGCTGATGTAAATGGCAAAAAAACAAACGGCTGGACTGTGCTGCACTCTGCTGTTACTGAAGGTACGCTTGTAATAGTGAAATATCTTGTTGAAAAGGGCGCTGATGTAAATGGCAGGGATACTGATGGTTGGATTGCGTTGGACATAGCTGTTAGTAAAAATAGGTTGGAAATCGTGAAATATCTTGTTGAAAAAGGCGCCAATGCTAATGGAAATAGGAATGAGTGGGGGGCAGCGATGCACTTTGCTGTCGCTAAGTGTACGCTGGAAATGGTAAAATATCTTGTTGAAAAGGGTGCTGATGTAAATGACACGGATACTTGTGGGAGTACAGTGCTCCACACTGCCGTTACAGAGGGTACGCTTGAGATAGTGAAATATCTTGTTGTAAAAGGCGCTGATGTAAATGGCAAAAAAAAAAAGGGCCTGACTGTGCTGCACTCTGCCGTTACAGAGGGTAAGCTTGAGATAGTAAAATATCTTGTTGAAAAAGGCGCTGATGTAAATGGCAAAAAAAAAACGGGTGGTCTGTTTTGCACTCTGCTGTTGCTAAAGCTAAGCTTGAAATAGTAAAATATCTTGTTGAAAAGGGAGCTGATGTAAATGACAGGGATACTGACGGGTGGACTGTGCTGCACTCTTCTGTTACAAATGGCAAGCTTGAAACAGTAAAATATCTTGTTGAAAAGGGCGCTGATGTAAATAGCAAAAACACAAACGGGTGGACTGTGCTGCACTCTGCTGTTACAATGGGTACGCTTGAAATAGTAAAATATCTTGTTGAAAAGGGCGCTGATGTAAATGGCTGGGGTACTGACGGGTGGACTGTGCTGCACTCTTCTGTTACAAAAGGCAAGCTTGAAATAATAAAATATCTAGTTAAAAAGGGCGCTGATGTAAATGGCAAAAACACAAACGGGCAGACTGTGCTGCACTCTGCTGTTACAGAAGGAACGCTTGAAATTGTGAAATATCTTGTTAAAAAGGGCGCTGATGTAAATTGCAAGAATACTGACGGCTGGATTGCGCTGGACATAGCTGTTAGTAAAAATAGGCTGGAAATCGTGAAATTTCTTGTTGAAAAATGCGCTAATGCAAATGGGAATATGAATGAGTGGGGGGCAGCGATGCACTTTGCTGTCGCTAAATCTACGCCGGAAATGGTAAAATATCTTGTTGAAAAGGGGGCGGATGTAAATAACAAGGATACTTGTGGTAGTACAGTGCTGCACACTGCCGTTACTGAAGGTACGTTTGTAATAGTAAAATACCTTGTTGAAAAGGGCGCTGATATAAATGGCAAAAAAACAAACGGCTTGACTGTGCTGCACTCTGCTGTTGCTAAAGCTAAGCTTGAAATAGTAAAATATCTTGTTGAAAAGAGCGTTGATGTAAATGCCAAGGATACTGATGGGTGGACTGTGCTGCACTCTGCTGTTACAGAGGGTACGCTTGAGATAGTAAAATATCTTGTTCAAAAGGGCGCTGATTTAAATGGCAAAAAAAAAACGGGAGCACTGTGCTGCACTCTGCAGTTGCTAAAGGTAATCTTGAAATAGTAAAATATCTTGTTGAACATGATGGTGATGTAAATGGCAGGGATACTGACGGGTGGACTGTGCTGCACTCTGCTATTACAGACGGTACGCTTGAGATAGTAAAATTTCTTGTTGAAAAAGGCGCTGATATAAATGGCAAAAATACAAACGGGTGGACTGTGCTGCACTCTGCTGTTACCGAGGGTGCGCTTGAAATAATAAAGTGTCTTGTGGAAAAGGGTGCTGATGTAAATGGCAAGGATACAAACGGGTGCACTGTGCTGCACTCTGCTGTTGCTAAAGGTCGGGTTGAAATAGTAAAATATCTTGTTGAAAATGGCGCTGAAATCCGCAATGATACTCTTGGCATTGATATTTTAAAGATAGCAATTGTGAAAAATTCGGTTAATTTGGTCACTCTTCTGTTAAAAAAGAACGTCAACTTATGGAGAGGTGGGACATTTCTCGTTGATGGAAGAAATTTGAGCCTTCTTGAAATGAGTATCCACCTTGGTCATGATGAAATTGCAACTATTCTTAAAAGGTCCGTAAAACATCGTCAGAAAATTCAGGTGCTTGGTACAACGAATTGCAACCAGTTAGAGAAGGTAATACTTGAAATATATTTTAAACATATATTAGGTTTTTGTCACTTAATTTGGTTATAGTAACATTGATTATTAACGGATACATTAAAGAGGAATTTAGATTTTAGTTTTGAACAGTGGCGGATCTAGGCCTGTGCAGAATAAATTACACCGCTTAATTACTCCGGCGTCAGCGACGGGGTTGAAAATTCGCCTCGGTTTTATTTTTTTTTTTTTTTTTTATTATTTTTCGTCGTCGCAAGTCTGAAATGGTGAGAAATATACTAGTATTTAAAATGTTTTTTTGATTGGATTTATCTATAATTTATGTCCCAGTCTTGTCTCCCAAGAGTTGTGGTGCACAACTTTGGCTAATTTTCCAATGCGCGATTCGATTTCGCTCGCATGATACGGCAATTCCTCCAACAGGAACAAATAAACCGTTTTTTTCATGCTTCTCGATTAAGTTTAGATTGAATTGGGGTAAGAATATATTTATTACATGTAGATTCTGGTCCAATTTTAGTAATATCGCTGCTATTTCGCCGTTTAAACAGATGATTAAATGGTCGTGTATGGGCGCTTTGACTCGTCGTAGCTTGCACAGGATTAAAGATTTAATATAACTATATAAGCGCAAATTCCAAAGGCAAAGTGTAAGACAAAGCGAATGTATCATGCCGTTTATTTACATTTTTGAACAATTGAACTTCTATACTTTTTAAAGTACGATGTGCTTCTGAATTTCGCGATCGAACATTTAGGTTCGCAAGGCATCTAAATGCGAATATGAACTGTATTGTTTATGTTCCGAAGCTCTGTATTGAAGACTGGCACGTGCGCCGGAGTTAACGCCAGAACAGGCGTCTTGTTTTAATTCAAAACACCTTATTAAAAACGTTATTGGTTATAGATTTGAAAAGAATATTTTTAGTTTAAAATCTACCTATGCGATTCCGATTTTAAGCAGTAGTAATTTATTCTCATTTCTGCACACCCCTAGATCCGCCACTGGTTTTGAACACTCTGGAGCTATACCCAGTCTTTTTTGTAAAAACCTGTCACTATCACCGAATTGGCGGAAAAGGAAAAACGTAAATTAAACAAAGGCGAGAAATCGAGCTCTTAAAAAATTGAAAAAGTGTATTGTTGTCAGTGTATTGTGTATTAGCATAAATTAACGACAAATATAGACTGTCACTCATTACGGGTTCCAAAACGTGACTCAAAGAAAGAAACCGCCGCTTTAACACGTCGTTATGCAATATTTAAAATAACAAGTCCAATTTAATTTGATTTTCACCTGCCAAGAAAGAGCTTAAACCTAGAATTACAAATTTTAATTGAAATGCAGTGAATGAATACACGTTGTGTCTTTCTCTTTTCCCAGTCATCTCTTGGGTAGTCTTCGAGATGGTGAAGACAATTAATATTGTGTACCAAAAAACTTGATCTTTTTTATATTATGATAAACGAATACAATATTATATCGAGGTTATCCTGATGACAATTCTCTCACAAGTGCGAATATAAAGCATTACGCATTCGCATAGGAATGATGAAAACGCAGAAAACTAGCTATGGTAGGCGTGCTCAAAAAATCATCCTGACAAACAAAAGTCGATCGAATGGCGACGCATGACAAAAATTGACGGTCGAAAATCACATTCTTTCAACACTGGGAATTAAACAGATAATTTCATTGGTGTCTGCGCCACTAAGCTCCTACCAAATTTCAATTTTGTCCTTTTTACTACCAATCGAGCACGTTTAATTTCGATCGCTTATTTCAATTTTAAAAACATTTGATTATTACTTTCTGATATGAATTGAACCTACATATCCCATCTTTCATACTGCGCAAATTTAAAATTGAATATATGCGGCCTAAATGTCTGTTTTAATTTCTCCCCGTATCTTAGATGGCCTTCTGTAATTAGTTGACTAAAATTATACCGTATAAAACAAAGGATATATATGGCGGGTGTCCGAAAAAAAGGACTTCTGTTTGATTGATGATAACTTTTTAATGACACAAGCCATTAAACTGAAATAAATTTTATTAGATGGAAGGATAGTTAGCTTAGATTTTTGTATTACATTTTTTTTTTAGAAAATGACATATATTTAATTACAAACTTGAGGTATTACACATATCAAAAGTAATCCTGGAGCGGATTTCACAACACGTTTACAATTATAGTCAAAGATATTACATTTTAAAATTTGATAATTGTTCGGACAGTTCAATGTTCGATGATGAATTTACATGGCGCCAAGAACGTGATCCGCGAATGCACAATACTTGTGCTCTGATGAGGGCAAAAGAGATCTGTTTTCGCAGCCAGCTCATCACGACGGACAACCTCAGATGTCGCTTCGTCGCCACCTTATCTGCCAACATGGTGAGGAAATGTTGGGTTTCCCTGCCACAGCCTCCAAAAGGAAATCTGATGAGTGTGGCAAGCTTAACGCTTGGTAAATAATATGTAATTACAACAGCACAACGGCTATATACAAGAGATGCATAATTAATTAGGTCGTATTACATGTAGTTGGTTACTAGGTGTTACTTAGCAAAAACTTCTTTCGATGCCG